TAAAGCCACAAAAACATAAAATACTGAGGGAAAGATAGTTAAGACCTTTTTTAAGAAATTCAGATTATAGTAACATTTCCAGTTCAGCTGGAATACATGTTTTTTTGTGTGCATGTTTTTGTGTGCATGCACTCCGCAAAACTTTTAACAACAATTATTTATTTCTACACTCCCCATAAAAAAAAAAATCAAAGTAGTGCTGAAACAAATAAGTATCTCATATAAATATAGATGGGGAAAAAAAAAATGCTTAGGTCTGTGAAGTCAACTAGGAGAAATTTTTCTGTCTAATTTAACTGGGAAACACCCAAATATTGAATCATACGTGTTACAGAGAATTTTAGAGCATGCGAAATCATGCTTTCTTTCCTAATAGCAAAGATCTCTTGGAATTCTCTGCAGCTTTTATTATGAAGATTTTTTTCAAATATGTTAAGAAATATTTATTTCAATGCCTCAGTCGCAGTTGTGACTGTAAGCATGCATATATATTGCTCCTAGCTGAGTGCCTCTGGGTGTTTTAATCATTTGTCTCAGCAAATAAAAGAGACACTGTTAGGGCTATTCTGAGCTCAAAATCTCTCCTTTTTCATAATATAATCTGTGCACAGATATTCTCTAGATATAGATTTTAGGACTTTGGATTTTTTCACATTGCTGGTAGTGAATTTCTAATCCATTGAAAGTACTGTATTTTAAGGCTAAGCATCTATTTCTTCTGATATATTTGTATGTTTTGTCGTTGATATCAAGACTGGATACCTAACATGCATAGGTTTTCATGGAAAAGGTGAAAATCCTGAATGCTTTCTTTTCCTCAGTCTTTATTAGTGAGACCAGTCAGGGGACCCCAGGTCACAAAAACTAAGGGGGAAAGTGCTGGAGCAAAGAAGGTATACTCTTGCTGGAAGATGAGTTTTCCCTGATATCCATTCTAAATCTCTCCTGATACAATTTGAGGCTATCTCTCCTCTAAGCCTCTTTTTTTTTTTTTTTTTTTTTTTACAGGCTGAACAGCACCAGCTCTCTCAGCTGCTCTTAAGGCTTGTGCTCCACATCCTTCATCACCTTTGTTACCCTTCTGTGGACACACACCAGCATCACAATATTAATCTTTTGTTGAGGGTCCCAGAACTGAACACATAATTTGAGGTGTTCCTCAAGACCTCAAATGTGCTCTGCTAATTCCTCCTGGTCACACCATTGCTGATGCAGGCCAGGATTCCATTTGCCTTCCTGTCAACCTGGGCACATGCTGGCTCATGTTCAGCAGTTCTCCACCAGTCCCCCCAGTCCCTTTTCTGCTGGGCAGCTTTCCAGCCACTCTGCCCCAGGTCTTGCAGAGGGTTGTTGTGACCCAATTGCAGGACACAGCACTTTGCCTCACTGAATGCCATGCAATTGGCCTCAGCAAATTGATCCAGCCTGTCTAGATCCCTCTGTAGTGTCTTCCTACCCTCCAGCAGATCAACATTCATGCCCAACCCTGTGTCATCTGCAAATTGACAAGAGAGTGTGCCTGATCCTCTCTTCCAGGCCATTGATAAATGTATTAAAGAGGACTGGACACAGTAATGTTTGCTTTTCTCATTAAAATGGCAAGGAGGATTCCCTGAAAATGAAATTAAGGTCTAACATCCAGTGCTCTAACTGACAGGTATACCTGTAGTTTTGTAAGAAGTTCCTCAGTAAAAATATGCCTTTTTTAATTTGATACTATGCCTTGGCATGTTGTGTTTCACAGAGTCTGATGTAAAGTAGTGAGAAGTTGTTTTTGCAACTAGTAGGCAGCTGGAAGCAGACAAGGAAAACAGTGGGTTACTGTCAACACTGCAGCACATTAATTTATCCTGGTTAGTCACACCTTAACAAGACAGCAAATAAACAAAAAAAAAATAAATTCAAATATAAGAACTGGTCAAATAAAAACATTACCAAAGCACTGTGAACCATAAAGCAGGGCTAATATCTGGCGTGTATTCGTCTCCTGGCAAGTTTGTGCTAATGATGCATCTATTCTGAACTGTGTATTATTTTGTGTTTTACAGCAGTTCCATAGAAGGTTGCGCAAGACTCATGATGAGAAATGGGCAGTGAACAAGTACAGCCAACAGGTTAACAGACAGACAACTGAAAACAGGAACCAGCTCTTTAATGTGAACAGTAGGAATTTGAAAAAATACATAAAGAAATAAAAAACTCTAAAGGGAAGGAAAAAGATCTAAGCCAGTAACAAGACATGAATATATACACACAACAAGAGACTGCATCAATTTAAAACTAGTGAACTCACCACAGACAAAACTAATTGTAGAATAAATACAACCCTCAAAAAGTCTGCACATAAATTTCGCATATTTCTATGGGGATAAATTTAGGGCCAGGTTCTAAAACCATATTTAAAAGGTCAGAGGCAGCATAAATAGCTATCATCTCTTCCTCTGACTTCATCCTTACATTCTTGTTTTATTAGTTCCCTCTTGGCCCTTCTAGCCTTGAGGTGAACCATGATATAAGGCAAAAGAAATGTTTTTGTCTTTGTATCTCCTACCATTCCTTCTTTCCCAGAAGGTAAAGGAAACAAAAAGTAACTTTTTCAGGAGGTATTGGAAAGTAAAGAATTCAAAAAAGCCACTCACCATTTTTACTGATGTACAATAGAAGGAACCATCTCTAAAGTCAGTGTAACTGCTGTTGGCAAGTCAGCTAAATCTGGGTAAGAGCTTATAACTGTCCTCTAACTAGCCTTAGCACATGGATCAAAGAATGTGTAGGCTTATATAAAAATCTGCCTACTAGTCCTGAAAATATCTACTTTGGGATTCCCTCTTGCAGGATCATATTCCAGCTCAAGAAAATCTTTTCTCATAGAATTATAGTTAACTGTCTTTGTACTGTGGAGCCTCTTCCTTATGTTAAGCCCATTCAGTTTTGCTGATGGTCTGATTCTATTCCTCCACAACTTTTGGAATTTTTACCCTGTCATATAGTGTTTAGGTTTTCAGATCTGATGCACAAATATCTTGACAGGGAAGGACATGAAATGAATTGCCATTCCACTAAATTACTGCAGCAGTGCAAGGACACTCTGAATTTCTCCTCATATTTTGATATAACAGATCATGCTCAATTAACTGTAAAAAGCAATAAAAGAGGAATTATTTTTTTTCCCCAAAGGATGCACATTAGGTTAATTTGCTGCATTAAACCATTGCTCGTGAAATGCAAACTAATAGAAACACCTGATGCTGAGAATGATGCAGTGGATCTTCTTCTGCTTTTAGGCCAGTAACAATTTTCAAAGATGGCAAAAAATCCATGACACAGCTTACCCACACCTGTTAAAACAGATGTCAAAATTGAAATTCTCCTGAAATCTCATATTCTGGCCTTTCATCAAGTTTCTCTGGTTATTTCCAATATAACCAGAGAATAAATAACCAATAATAAATGCGTCCTTAGCACCTATCACATCCTTGATTATGTGATAGGTGCTAAGGGACTTCCTCACTCTTGGAAAACTTTCATGGCCTGAACTTGATCTCATTAGTTGGATTTGTCAGGTTAAAATAAACTGGTTAAAGGGGTTTTTTTTGCAAAAATTAAAACACAATGAAGATGTGTATTCAGATTGCTTTTGATCAAATAATACAGATTCAAATATAATTTCAGTGTGAAAAAAAACCCAAAAAGCTTTGAAAATTTTGTTTTGGAAAATTTGTGCTGAACTCTCTTGTCTGCTTGCAGATGGTGATGTCATCCACACTGTTCTGATTAGGCCATCACATTGGCTTTGCTGGGGCAGCTATGAATGTTTCTTTCAACACCCAGCTACCACTCCAATATTTCCAGAATTATGCCCTTTATGCTGAGTTGAAGTTTTCTCTGTTATGCTTAATGTCATTCTGCCATCATGCAGTATCTCTGGAAGGTAGGGCTGTTAGTATATATGACTCTTTTAAGCTAGTGTTTAAATGGTGAAAATCTACATGATTTTTAACCTAAATGTTACTAAGCATTCCTTAGACAAATTAGGGTCTCCCTCTTCTTGATGAATGAGGCAAACAATGGATGGCAAATCACAGAATCATAGAATTGCTTATGCTGGAAAACACCTGTAAGATCATTGACTCCAACCATTGGTCTGACACTGCCAAGTCCATCACTAAATCGTACAATTGGTCTCATCCTATAGATCCAGGCTGTCCATATCCCTCTGTAGTGACTTCCTTTCCCATAGTGGAGCAACACTCGTACCCAGCTTTGTGTCATCTGCAAAATAACTGAGTGTGCATTCCATCTCCTCTCCTAGATCATCGACAAAGCCATTAATCAGGGCTGTTCTCAGTACTGAGCCCTGGGAAGCGCCACTTGTGGCCAGCCAGCAGCTGGATGTACCTCCATTCACCACCACTCTCTCAGCCCAGCTCTCCATCCAGTTTTTTACCCAACAATGAGCACACCTGACCAAGCTATCAGCAGCCAGTTTCTCCAGAAGCATGCCATGAGAGATGGTGTTGAGAGCTTTACTAATATCCAGGTAAAAATCCACAAACCCAGGTGATGATCTCAGGACAGTAAAAAAAAACAGGGGATCATAAAGAATTTGTTTTTACATATTAAATACATATATAGCTATGTAGTTTATTGACTGCCAGGACAATTCCAGATACTGTATAATACCAGAAAACCATGGCTTCTGAAACTTCATGGACACTTAGTCATCTGACTAGGCTTTTTAGTTGGCACATAATTTGCTTGGGGTTTCTAAAATTGCCACTGTAACCAGTCTTCTTTTCTGAGATGGCAATAGAAAAAAGGAAATTTTGAGTTTTGGCAGTCTCAAAACCCCAGAGATATCATATCTGCTTTGAAAGTGAAATGGAGATTTCCATCAGAACTGTTTTTCAGTGTAATTAGATTCTTGGCTCCTTACCATGAATGACTGGATTATCACACCTTTGCCTGTTTAGACTTCTGGCTCTGAACTTAACGTCCTGAGCCAGCTTGTGCTGTGGTTCCCCCAGTCTGACAAACCATGAAATCTCTGTAACATGGAACCTGCTTGCAGCAATATCCTGTATGTAGCAGAAAATATTTTAGTTAACATAAGAAAGCTGAAAGTGATGCCCCTTATCACTGCAGGGAGGAAGAAAATTCTTCCAATCTCTGTATTACATTGCTTGAATAAATTTAGTAATGTTTAATCACTTTCTATTGGCATTGAAAGACACACGTATAAAGAGATAATTCACATGTTACTTTTATCATCAGCTAAATTTTTCTTGATTTTCTAATGAAAGCCAAATAAGTCTTCACAAAAGATTTTACAGTTTTTTCCCTGTTAATTTTAATAATCTTGCACATTGCTTTAACAAATGTTGTTGTTTTGAACAAAAATTATAAAATACAATTTCATATCATTTAATACAAGGTCCACAGTAATGAAAAGCTAGTAACAGGAAAATGTAATATCACTGCACCAGGAGCACCTACAGAAAATTTAGTTTAGCATATCATCTCCTTATGCCTAAGGTAACACCCTTTTTGCCTTGCAATTACCATATAAACAAAATTACATAATATTCTAGAAAGGCTTAACATTCCAGTCAGAAAATAGTTCTGAGCCTTAGAAGAGATTTGTGAAACCTTCAGGTGATCTACAGCATTAGATGGACTGCAATGACAGGCTTAGAGTTGGGACCATGTGTCCTTCTGTCCCATAGATGACAGTTTTTCATGAGGCTGCAAAAAACAAAGTAAATCTTGCCTTTAATCTTGCATAAGATGTTTCCTGTCAAATGAGCTCCCTTTACCAATACACCCCGAGGTAGAATGCTCTGTTAAAAAAAGGATAGATCTGTAGGACACCACAGTAAAAGTAGGTTAAAAAGAACATATGCAACCTAGATAGAATTTTAGAAAGACAATATAATGGTTGTCACATCTGACTTTTTTTTCTTACACTCTCGGTGAATTACACAGACTACCACAGAACTCAGCTGCTGGTTTGACACAAGCAGTTCATCCTAAGTTGTTCAAAAGACCTTTTCTATCTTTTCTTGCAAAAGCAACTTCAAAGCTACTCTTCTGCCTGTACTGGTTTGGCAGTCTTCTCAAAGTTACTTTTACCACTCTGTTACTGGATGCAAAGAGCACTTTATCGAATTGAATATATGCTATTTTCTTTTTCCTTCACATTAAAAACTTCCTGTAAAAGGAAGCCATTTAAGGGCAAGATTTCAGAAGACCAGGCTTACCTGCTTGTCATTTTGAGGGGATATTTAGGTTTTTGCAAAGTAAAGGCAAAGCATGGACTCTTGGTTCTGCCACTACTTTAATCCATATTTTACAACTTCTTGTCATTCTTGAATGACATTCGAAAAGTCAAGAATGACATTCACATTTCTTCTTAATCTCTTTACCCAATATCATCTCCACAATTCCTTTTTTCAATGTTTCTGTGGGTTTTTTTGTGATAAAATGATATCAATTTGAGGTTTTTCCCAAGTGTTAACACAGTTGTTTCACACATAGCAACACTGTTGCAAAATATTTTTTGATCTGAACTCTGACTTTTGCCACAATCCAGAAAAGTAAAAGCAAATCAATTTTTTATGTCAATATACATATATACTTTGTATATGTTTTAAGTCAGAAGTTAACTAGTTGATCTCTGCATAGCTATGTTGCCCCTACTAAGGATTTCTATTTTTTTTCCACAGTCCAGTGTGATCACTGGAAGACCCTTCGTGTGTACTGAAATGGGTGAATTTCCAGACTTTTTAGTCCTGTCATAGTCTGACAAATATATATGCATCTTAACATATACACACTCTTGATACATTTTTTCTGCCAGTCTGACCCTCACAGAGAATAGCTGAGTACTATTTTACTGTTATTCTTATTAATTTGCCAATAGCAATATTATTAACTTTTATTAAAACGGTAACATTTTTTGCAGGGATATTGTTTATTTATTTATTTAATAATGTATTTTTTCACAGTAACACAGCAGATGTTATAGAGGGCTCATAACTTCCCAGACACATTCCTGTTTTTATCAATTCTCTTTGTAAGTGCAAATGAGCTGATATGTATTCCTTTCATACTTTTTTGTTTGTTTGGATTGCATTTATTTGGGTTTTTTTGATTGCAAGACATACCCATATATCTTAAAAAGAAAAGTTTTGTTGATATCCAGCAAGTATTTCATGGTTGATTTAAAATAACACTTGTGGACTTAAGGGAAAAAATATATGCTTGTGACTTCTTCTATTCTACCTACTATCTGTCAGAGATATAGAAGAGTAGTGAATAGAGTTTGGGGACTGGGAATGGGAGACAAAAAGGTAGGATAAAGTTAGAAGAATCACCTGGAAGGACCTATTAGCAATAGCATTGCCAAAGTAACCCAGCAGGATGTCAACGTGCTTTGCCATAAGAGCTCCTTTAACTCCTCTGAAAACAACTCTTGGATAAAGATGAAAACTGGGAAGTATATATTCAGTTCTGCCTCTCCTAGGTATCTAACCTATATTAATATTTATGAAGCATGAATTGGAATGCACAGAGTAACTTAAAATTCTCCTGATTTCAGAAAGTGTTGTGACTGTTCATCACTTTCAACTGAGCCCTTTGCACCTTCAGTGTTTAATATGTTAATTTTATTAAAATATCTTTAGCGTATTAGTCTTTATTCAACATTGCACTAATGTGTGAATTTAAATAATTTTATGATTATATAGCATATTTCTTCCTTCAGATATTAACTCAAACTTTGATATTTTGTTGACATTCACAAATAGCAACTCTGAATTACTAATCTCACTCTAATAAAAGGTGAATTTGACCAGATTTTTGAACTACTTTTGGGATAAGATTTAAATTAGTTAAATTTCACAAAGGAGGAAATTTTCATCTGTTGCATTACCATCTACCTTGTATTTAGTTTATGATGAAACACAGTGTTGCATAGAAGTCTTAAAGGTATTCCAAGAGGCATTTTTTTTCCCTGGTTGCTTGGTTTAAGACAAATTTTAAGAGGTGGTCACTCCAAAATGAGTTACCTTTTCTTAGTTTTAACCAATTCCTTTCCACAAAAAATAAATTATGTCCAGCAACTTTGGCCAAGCAGGTCGACATCTTTATGCTCTTATGGCTAAGCAGATCAACAGCCTGCTGGGTTACTTTGGCAATATTATTGCTAAGTGGTTCAGGAGGGGGATCTTTTCCTGCGGAGACACATTTCAACTGCCAGACCTAGCTCTGAACTCTCAAACACAACAGAGATATGAATATTGCTGTGAAAGGCCACAAAGTTGAATGGGGGCTGAACCACCTGTTGGTACAAAGAGATGCTGAATGTGCTGGGACTACTCAAGGTGGAGAAGAGAAGACAGAAGAAAACTTACTAGTATTTATAACTGATAAAGAAGATGGAGACATACTCCTCTCAGTTGTATTCAGCAAATGCAGAAGAGATAGTGGACAGAAACTGAAATATAAGAAATTCCATCTGAACATAAGAAAAAACCATTTTGTTTCTGAGAGTGCCCAACAGGTTGCTCGGAAAGTCTTTTCAGTCTCTGTCTGTGGAGGCATTCAAGACCCTACTGCATGCAATCATGGGCAACCTACTCTAGTTGGTGCAATTTTAGCAGGGTATTTGGACTAGACAGCCTCAAGAGACCCTTCTAATCTCAACTTTTTTGTGGGTCTCTATTTATATCTAGTTTATTCAGAACACTATGAATTTCACACCACACTAATATCTGCAACAGTGGCTTTTGGAAACAAGTTTCACTGTGATTGCTGGTTTGTGGGGTTTTTTGCCCCTTTACTTCATAAACAGATCTTGTCCGTCTGCCTTCAACTAATAGTGGCAGTTTGTTTGAAATTTCAGTGGAGCACACCTTCACATTCATTTGCTGTTTAACAGCCTCCATAATGAAATAGTTGTAAAAAAGTGCCCTCTCAAAAAAATCTGTCATATAGCACAAAGATTATTTATTTCCCCTTAAAGGATATCAGACAAAATAAATAGTAAGCCACAATAATATGTTTAATTCATTAACTTTTTGGAAACTAAATAGTTGTCCAAATGCCTTTTTATTGTTTTTCAAAGGATTTGGTTAGTTTGTACACTGTCAAATGGAAAAGAGATTCTGCAGGCAGCAAGCTCTGTCTTATGTGCAATCTGTCAGGCACTGAATTATAGTTATATATAGCTTGCTATGCTTTTGTGTACTATAGATTGCCAAAGTTTTGAATTCGCTCAGTGTCATGGAGAAGGAGCACAGATTATAGATTAAAATCCCTGAAGGAAGAGACAGTTTTTGAGAGGAGAACACAGTAGATAGGAAACTGCTAAAAATACATTGAAAAAATGAACACAAAGTTTAAAGCTTATACAAGAGCAGTGAAAATTTTGTACCCTTTTCTTCCAGTGATGAAGCACAAACTTTACTGCTAAATCAGCATTTTTCAGTTATACCTCCTTAATTTCTATATTTCTTTGAAGAATGATTTGGTAAATATATTTGAGCAGTAGCCTTCAGAGCAGCTGATTTGTGTAGCTTCATGTTTTCCATAATGACATTTCATTATTTATTTTATTAATAATAATTAATGGCTGCTGTTAAAAGGCATGCCATACTTTGGATTTTAACCATTAATCATTTAACCCTCTTTAACCATTCCCCCCCCTTTTTTTCCCCACATATAAAAGATCTCAAACTTTCAAACACTGTTACATCTTTCACTAATTTATTCAACATTTTTGTAATGTCTACTTTCACTGTATACAGATGTAATATTCATTATTAGATATCAAAAATCTATTACTAAGGTAGTAATTCCTTACCGCTAATTTTATCTCTGTTATAACATAATACCTTTTGACCTTATGTGTGCTTACCTTTTCAATATATATATTTGGAGTACAGAGTGAAGTTTTGGTTGGTTGTAACAGTTGGGACTTGAAGTGATGCACCTTGCTCTATGTCCATTAGCAGACTGTACTATCCTGATGCAGCTGATGTTACCATGTGGAACAGGCCAGGAATCTGCTAATGTTTTCCCTCTGTGGTTCATTGCTACACCTGAAAGTCTGAATCAATGTCAAAAAGTTTGCTTTGAAACTGGAACACTTCAACATGTTTTGATTATTTTTTTTCAACAGCAATTACTATCACAGTTTGAACTCACAGAGATGGCATCCTGACACGGGACTCTTTGGATGTCAGTGGAAAGGCTCCATTGATTTTAGCTAACCCATTGTGAAAGAACTGCAATAACTACTCAAAAACTTATTTTGATCTGGTTTGTCCATGAAAATCACAATTGAATGGAGTTAGTAAATACATATTACTCAAGCTGAGTATCTTTACACACATGTGTATAGAGAGAACACAAACTAACACACACATGCATATGTAAATATTTCTATACACCTACTCATGTTATGTCTGAGATTTAAGAATCACTGTGACAATTGTCTGATTCACTTGGCTTCTTTTAAATACTTGAATGAATTTTTTTAGGAGCACAGTTTGAAAGTTACTGCTTTTATTGAGAAGTTCATATACACAGCTATTAGTCTTTGAAAAATATATCCCAAATAACCTGTTTTCACAATTGATGCCTTATAAATAGCACTGAGGCCTGTGGTCCTTGGTTATTCTTAATTACTAAGATGGAGGATAGCATTATTGAGAACAAAGAAATGAAGAAGAACTACTCTTTTTACCTGGATTCCCTCATTCAAGACTATTTTTTCATGCTGATTGTCCATCTTAAAAGATGAGGAATCTCATCTGTTCCCACTGCTGACTATCCTGATTTTCCTTTTCCTTTCATCCTTCTCACACATTTATCAGCATGTTTTGCTTGTTTTCAGCCCCTTATGCCAATCTTATTTTTTTTAATTTGCAGCCCCTTATACCAATCTTATTTTTTATGTTCTCTGTCTGCCATATCTGCTACTTGTGTCACTGTTTGCAAGTTTTATTACGCCTCCCAGAGAAAATGGCACACTTTTTTGTCCTTTTGTTGGTCAAACTATTCACATCCTGAAGTACAATGTGTGTGGCTATGTATTGATCAGCAGTCTTTAAAATATTTATTTGTTAACATTGGTTATCACAAATATTTTCATTGGATGCCTGTCACAAATGGCAGGAGGTTTGGCAAAGGCACCTTCTGCTATACTCAGGACATTAAGGAAAAGTTTAAACTTTCTGGTCAAAGTCCTTCTGGAAAGTTCACTCTTTCCTCAGAGCATTAATTTTTAACAGCAGTTCACTAAAGAACTTGTTTTACTTTCAACTTGTGATTATCAATTGTAGATTATTTGGCTATCCAATGATGTTTATTTTATTAAACAGGAAGAATTCCAAATCTGTTCCAAAGGGCAATTTCACCCTTTTGCTGCACTGCCTTATTTGCAAAGCTTCTTGGTTTGTGGATTTAAATCTTTTTTAATCAGTGTTAAAAAATATTGCTAACATCAATAGCTACTAAGCACTTGTTCTCACTGTAGTCACATTTTGAGCTCACTGATGCTTCATGCATCTTATGCTATGTTGTTGTCATCATGTTGCAAAGGTTCCATATTTTTGTCTCCTTATTGCAAGAGTTTCATACCTCCTTGATGTTTCTCATAGGCAGCTCCTCTAAGCACTGACTCTTCCTTCTTCTCAGAGCAGCCAACTGACTTCTGTTCCCCTTTAACCAACCAATCCACTCTTTTATAGCACTATTCTTCCTATTGGTTACAGCTGTGGCCTGTTAAAGTCCTAATCTTTAATAATTAGCTCAGCTGCAACTCTTTAGGGGTAAGATTACTTTCTATACTGCCTTTTATTTATTTTCTTATATTCTATCCCCCTACACTATGTTAGTTCATTTCCTAAGTAACTTGAAAAGACTGAACTGAACTGAATAACCACTGCAGAAAAGGTAAAGCAGGGTGTGGCAAACATGCAGTCTAAATTGAAGCAGAAAAAGAAACCAGACATGAGTTGCTGTACTATGTGATGCTAAATACAGCACATGGGCAGGACACTTTAAAGAACATGGAGAAACACAAAGACAGAAGCTAGAATGTCACAGTATGGCAGTGGTTACTTTTATATTCGCAAATAAATTCAGTGCCTACAGACAGAAGCTGTAGCTTGCCTTTATTTCAAAATGTCACTGGCCCAATTTAGTCCAATCACAGAGTTACTGCAGAAGACCTAAGCATTGACACTTTTCACAGTTTCTAACGAAACAGCTGAACTAGGTTTTTCTTGTTTTGTTTTGTTTTGTTTGAATATCATTCCACTGTCAGTAAACAAAAATGCTATCATCTCCTCAGAGAAATTTAGTAGCTGTCATTATGTCAATGGAAATGAATCTGTATTGATTTATATTCAGACTTGTAGCCAGATGTACACAAAGTCAGCATCTAAACTGATTCTGTTTGGTCCTCCATTTCTTTTTTACATGAGTAGTGTTCCCACACCACTGTACAGCACTGCTCCCTTAGCATGACATTTCAAGGTTGAATGTGAGGAAGTGGATACTTATTTTAACTTTTACAATGCAAGTTCATTCTATTTTTGACAGGAAATTTGGAGAAAGCAAATGCCCACAGAGGCTGATGAGTGATTTCTGTAATCTTCATAAAAGTTGACACTCTCAGCAATTTAAGCAACTGTCTTATTTCTTATTATCTATATGTAAGTAATTGCAAATCAGGACTATAGATTTTTTTAATCACTAATACTTTACAAAATTGTATGCAATGTAAGTTGCTCAACCAGATTTGCTACTTCTTGATTTGTTTTTTTTATATTCTATCCTAAACATCCATTGTTGACTATTGTCAGGCTTTTGTGCCAGATAATTCTTTGGTCTCTTCCTAAACAGACATTTTTATGTTCCCTAAATACTCAGAATTTTCTTGCATGGATTAAAAATGTAGTAGTTTTCACATTCTACTATACAGGTATCAAACACTTGCAGAACTTCTATAAATGTCAAGAAACTTAAACAAATAAATAATTTTAAATCATTGATAGCCAGAGAACTTTTTTCCTACAGAAAAACATAGTAGGGTACTTTTTTGACAAATTCTTTTCCCTATTATTTTGTGCTAGTTTATTCCATGACATTAAAATCCTCATCAATTAGTGGAATAGTGATAGGAAGGAAAAACTGTAAACTCATGAATAAAGGAGAAGGTTTCCCTATCTTTACCCTATTAAGATGCTTTTTATCAAGTCAATGTGGAATGCTTAATGCTTTTTATTAAAAGTGCTGTACAAGCATTGTGTAAATAGTTTTCTTTGAGGCTGCCAACTAGCAGCCTTTATTTGTGACTTTAGTGTTAGTAACCAAAATATATTGCCCCACTGCTATAACACAAAGTAAGCTTTAAGTTTATTACTTCAACACATTAATTAATTTATTAAATATTAATGATGAAAAAAAACTTTCAAGGCATGTTATATACAGCTTCAGCATTGTTAATGTGTTATTGCCCCATTTATCAGCTGCTATGCATAAGATGTACAAAGCAATATAACTGGTTGATGAGGTATGTTCATACCATATGTTGTTAATCTAGTTAATGGAATAACAAATACATAGTTGGGTCTATTAGATTTCTGACTTAACAATATAAATATATGTTAAAATATTTTATCTTCAGACAGGATGATTACACTGTCTATTTGATCTCAGGTAAAGAGTAGAGCATGAATAAAAATCTTTCTAGAGTTATAATTATGCCAGTTTCAGTTTACTGTCCAAAATTTTACACTGAGGAAGCATCTATACCTAAACAAATACATAGATGTATATTTTTCTTAAAGAAATATATTATAAAGTTATAGGAAAAGTAACTAAACCTTTAAAATAATTTACATCTCTTTGCACACAATTTTATTTAACACCTTTAAATTTTCTTCTTTGTCTTCCATTTATTGTGCTGCATCAATATGAATTCTCATCTACCTCTTGTGTACTGAAAAACATGTAATATAATATCAATCTTTTGAGATAAATGTTTGCTTGAATGTCAGTTTTGGAAGTTGAAATTTGCTTTTCTAACTTCAGTATGTGATGGCTATTGCCCGAAACCTTGGAGGTTGAAAATTTAAAGATTGATCCATTCTTTTGTTCATAATACCTCTTGCACAATTTTTAAACCCTGCTCATTTATTTTCCTTTATCAGTATTGTGTCTAATTACTTTTAAAAGTGACACATTTATGAAGCAGTGATTTATAAATTAACATCTTCTATTTAACATACCTTCAAATAATTTCCTTTGTTTTCTTAATAATTTAAACTATAGGCAGTAAATTCTAATACATGGAAAATGTGATGTTTAAGATTTCAGATTGCAGATATCCTTTTGAAAGCTCCTGCAAAACTTTAATTAATTTAAGCAAGTAAACCATTCAAAGGAAATATTAAAACTAATGCTGTAAATATTTAAAGGATAATTCTTTGTTCTACATATTCCAACTAATTAGTTCTGCCTATCCTGTTTTCTACTGGAATGTTTCATGTATTTGTAATGCGACAAATTTATTACTCTTATTTTATTTGCATTCTGCAATGAAATAAAAATAAAAAACAAAATGTGGGTATGTATTTGTAAAAGCACTGGTTTTCTTTTCCTAAAATACATTGTCTATAATTTTAGATTCTTTTACTTTATTTGGAATATTACTCATTCTTCAATATCATTCTGTATGATTGGTAGAATTTTATGTTGCTAATACTACATTTTATGACATATTTCCAAATAGATACATTAAACTCTCCCCCACTGTTGCATCTGTGAAAATATCAACACATATGAAAAGGAGAGTTAGTGAAAACATGGCTTTGAATGTTTTAGGAGGGTTGTTACTTCCAAAAGGAGTAATAATGTTGTGTGAAAACTCCTGTAGTGGCAGATTCATGTTTCAGCTCCATCATTTTTTTGGAGAAAAAATTATGGTCTCCACTCACAGAGAGTGGAGACCAAATTTAATATCAACAAGAGATCAATTCTATAACAATCCATTTTAGTCTACCTCATAAATATTATGCTTTGTTGCATATTTTGTCATATATATTTTCAAGTCACGTGGGGAAATGAGAATATGGAGAATCCCTGAAATGCCTTGCAACTTTTACGCAAATAGATTTTCAAGAAAATCATAATTTCCATTTCAAATACATCTGGGACAATCATGATGGTGGTGTCAACCTGTTGGAGTTTTTGTTGCTGGGAAAAGTTGTACAAAAGAACTGGGTTTTACATTGACCAGTTACTGAATAAAGTGCATGATTACATTTGAAATGCAACTTGGGTTTCCCTGTTCTAGCAGACTACTTATAAAATTAACTTGCACACTCAAGCTCTCTCCTTTTCTCTGTTTTTGTTTCTTCCCTATTTTCTTGGCTTCTTTGCTATTCTATACAAAATTTTAAAACTTTTTTCCCAACTAAAATTGTTTCATAGTCCGATAATTATGACACAGTTTTTACAAGGAATTTTTAAAATCTTTGTTAAAGTTGAGAAAGTTAAGGACTTAGGTATTTTGCTTCCCTAATGAATATTTGAATGAAAGTGTTAAATAAAGACCAATTCTTAATTTTTGTTTTGAAAACAGGTAGATAATTCCCATGCAGTAATACATTTTGTGGACCAATATTTGCCATTATGATGTAAGTTGTCACTTCTTAACAATTTACCTTCTATAACTATGTTTACAATACTTTCTGAGAAGATCCTAGGGAGAAATAAGGAGAAATTTACTCAGCCAGTGTCTGCATGTGTATCAGAAGATTCTTAGATACCTGAGGAATTTTCCCATTAAAGGATTCAGTTATGGAAGAGATAATTATCCCAGAGTTTTACATTCTTCTTAAACACTGCTTAAGGAACTTAAATCCCATGTCCATTCAGATCTATCTCTGCACAGAAATTTGTGATGCCAGTACTTGAAATGCATCTTTAAGAGGATTCACTATCACAGAATGAATGAGGGTGGAAGGGGTCTGCAGGGGTCATCAGGTCCAACCCCGCTGCTTAAACCAGGATACCTAGAGCCTATTGCCCAGGATCATATCTGGGCATTCTTTTAATGTTTTCAAAGGTCCAGACTCCTCAACCTTTCTGGGACATGGTTCATTACCCTCACATTAAAAAATCGCTTCCTGATGTTCAGAGGCAATCTCCTGTATTTCAGCGTGTGCCCACTGCCTTGTGTCTTCTCACTGAGCATCATTTAAAAGACTCCAGTTTTCTCCTTTTTGTACCATTCCTTCAGGTAAGTATGTGTGCTGCAATGTAGAGAAATATCAAAAACCTCCCTGAAGCCCAGGTAGACAATATTCCTTTCATCTAGCAGGCAAGTTGATTCCAACATGTTTCTTCAAGAAATAGAATTTGAACAATGGAAATAATAACTTAATGCAGCCTGTTGAACTGTGGAAGAGAATATAATTGCTAGTTACAGGATATTTTTAAAAATTTCTGAAAATATACCATATTACATAAAATATAAAGATATTTTTGGCATCCTTTGTATAACCACATTAGTTTCATCTGTTCCAACTTCCTTGTAATTTTCAAAGTCCCCTGCTAAATTTAAGGCAGTATCAGGACATATATATGTGAGGTGGATGAAGTGTCATGGTGAACAGTACCCTATTCTGTCAAAGTCAGAAATGTCAC